GGGATGCTTTTGGTTTGGGGACAGGGGTTCTTTGATTTTTTTTTTTCTTTCTAGGATGAAAGCTCATTGGCTCTATTTCAGAGCTCACAATTGATGAATAACATTAAGAAAGAGAATCATTTGCCCATTATGCCCCAAATAGCCAAAGAAATGCCCATTTGAATTGTTCTCGATTTTTTCCTTCTCTGAAACTACTCTCTTTATCATACAAAATATGCACCTAGAAATTTAGGTAATATTTTTTAAATGGTGTTTCTTCCAGGTACTTAAATAATTTTATTAATGAGTTAAAATATGTGGTTCATTACAAAATTATGTGACTCATGGCTGAGGTTCTATCTAATTTAATAGTCTAAGATGGAAATTTTTCTCACCTCTCTTGTAACAAAAAGACATTTTAAAGTATAGTTTAACTCACATAAATCTTCAGGTTCATAATAGACATTTCAACTCAAATCTATTTTGCATTGTGAATTGAATGACAGAAGAAAAAGGAATAAAGAATTTAGATTTAATTCCTTCCTGAAAAAGGAATAAAGAATTTAGATCCAACTTCAGGTCTGTCCACACTGCAGTATATTCAGGAGAAGCCAACGCAGTTGTGGTTGAGTTATGGATCTTCCTCCTTCATGATTGGCCAGCCACCTTTACACTCCTTGTATTAATTTCCTGTCACTAAGGTAACAAATTACAAAAAAAAAAAAAAAAGGGGTGGCTTAAAACGAGAGAAATTTATTTTCTCTCAGTTCTGGAGGTCAGAAGTCTGACCTCCAGACTTCTGACTCAAAGTGTGGGCAGGGCAACACTCCCTTTCCAGCTTCTGATAGTTACTCACATTTTTTGGCTTGTGGCCTCAACTCCAGAATAATTTAAACAGAGAGGTGTGTGTGGTTGTGAAAGTGACATATTCCTCCCAATCTCCACTGGTTTGTATGCAAAATAGAAATGCAACAAGGCTCAAATTTCAAAAGAACATTGTAAGAATCTAAGCTCAAATTTTACCTAGAGAATTATTAATTCCATAAACGTTTGTGATATGCTTGCCTACTTTATGCCAAGCAGTATGCTCAGCTCTGAAGAATCAATGATAAAAAAGACAAGGCGCCAATTTCAAGAAGCTCTTCTTGTAAACAATGAGATGTGTGGAAGAAAATGTAGTCATCCTTATTCAACAAGGTAAGAGCTATTGAAGTGATTAAATGTTTGTTTTTTTTTTTCTCAGAAGTGACATTTGAGGTGAGCTTGGAAGAACAGGGAGAATTTCTGAGGGCACACAAGGGTTCAAGAAGGCATTTCAGGCAGAAGCAACAGCAAGTTCAATGGCACTGAGGTATAAGGGTGAGCGGTGTTCACTGAAGAGGTAAAGTAGCCTCAATAGTAGGGTTGGAGCAAATGTGTCATTTGAAGACCTTTACATCCAGGTCGAGAGTTTAGACTCATGGGCATCAAGAAGCCACTAGACGCAGGTGTGGTGCTAGTACACTCTTCCGCATCAGTATAACCCTGTTTTTCTGTTGTCTCTGCTTCAGGGTCAGTTGCAAAGCCAAAGGTGTTGCCGGCCACCTCAGGTTCTCTGCTACAAAAGCAGACTGCCTGCTGAAATGCTGTTTGAAAGACCTAAGAAACGATTTAGCCTTTTACATTTTGGGAACAACGCTTTACTCCTTTAGTATGACTTTGGAGATACTAATATGGCCTGAGATGACACTGAATTGGTAACCTAGATCTCTAAACCAAGTCGAGAGAGTCCGGTTTATATCTCAGCCACTGGGAGAATCTGGATGTCCTTTGTTGTTGGTGTCGTTTTTGTTGCTCTGTTTGTCAGAGCTGGCTTCAAATCAAGCATGATTATCATGATTTTTACTTTTTGTTGCCTGTATTCCATCTTAGTTGTAGGAGATATAGCTCGAAGTTGAGCAGGATTGAAAGATATGCAATCCCTCTATTTCTTCTGTCCCTCTCTGACTAGCCCAGATTATGCCATTGTGTTTTGGGAAGGCTGGTAGTAGGGAGGAAGATGGACCGAAGGAGGGACCGTGGGTGAAATGACAGCTGCTGCCAAGTCCCAGTTGATGATAAGGAATACCTGACAAAAGCAGAGGCCATGAGGTCAGGCTGGGCTTGAGAGCAAACACTCTGAAGGAAGGTGGCCACCCTGCTTAGCCCTGTCTTCCTTTACAGATCCTGGCTTCTAGAATTGCCTCATACTCTAAGAGGCAAAACAGCTGTAACATGTTTTAAACAGAGGAAGATCTTTCCTTTTTAATAAACCCCTTTAACATTTTGAAAACAAAACAGAGGATACATAGTGAATGACGAGAGAATTATAAGGGTCAGCTTTAAACAATCAGATTACTAACACTGTATTGATACTGCCGAATGGGACAAATGGTCATAGGTTTTTGTTTCTTTTTTAAACCAACTTTGTCTATGAGCCTCTATCCAAATGGGAGATGAGGAGAGAGATTTAATTTCAGTGGTTTCTGGGCCTTCCCTCACCTCCAGGTTCTCACTGGATCTGGAAGCTTTACATGGCCCCAGGCTATGAGGGTGAACTTCTCTTTTACCCACCGTAGTCACTATGGTCCCCTGACCCACAGCTCTTTGCTTCTGTTCTCTGTGTGGCAAGAGGCTTATTTCTCTTCTCGCTTCTTCTCTTTGGTGTACTTTCAAACTGAAATCTGCCCACTGCCACAAAAAGCAGTTATGACTGCTATGATCTTAAGGTGTCTGGCTTACTCCATTAATCACATGAGCGACTGTTCTATTATCTTTGAAATTCTCATTGTCACTCAGGAATCAGACTATAAACAATAATTTTTCCTTTCCCTGACTCAGACCAGAGGAAAGAAAAAGGAGATGAAATTCTTGTCCCTGTTCGTGATACATTAATAGCTATGTCAACTCTTCCCACCCCCTACCCCCAACCCCCAGTAGAGACAGGAAGGATTTTAAAAGGTTATACAGTCCAACAGTGAACGTTTTAAAATTTTCTCCCTGCTTCCCACAGTATCCTTTTCATTTAGTGTCCTTTCCTCTTCCTTACCATTATGTTTGAATTTATAATCTAATTACGTTAGTGATTTGATCAACACATATCTATTGGATTTCTTTTATGTGTGTAGCTCTGGGCCAAGTACTCTATTTTCTTCTCAATTTCTAATTGAGAAATGCTAGCAGACCTTCATTCAGATGCCTCTGGGTTTGGAAGAGCCTTTTTGCCTGGAATATCTCAACTGCTACTTTTGCAAATGCTCCGTTTAATAAAAAGGCCAAACGGGGTAACTTAGACCAGAAAATAATGGTTTAGGAACCTGAATAATCCTAAAGTTTTTTTCCTCCATTTGATCGTACTTATCGACCAAATGATTGCAAATTATCTACTTAGTATTGTGTTGATACATTCTGAAGAAAATGTCATCATCAGCTTTATCAGTAATACATTCTGCTCTTCAAAACAAAGGTTTAAGGTTAAGAAACAAAGAAATAAAAAACAATTGTTTTTGTGCTCGCTTCAGCAGCACGTATACTAAAAAGAATTATTTTATTTAAATGTATAATTTATTTTAAAAATCAAGGAAACTTTGGTCTTTGTGAACGTAATGATAAAATGTAAATATTTCCTTTAGTTCATTGGTCCTTTAGGAAAATAAATATTTCTTAAATGGGGAGCTCTTATAAAGGAGAACAAATGAGCTATGTTTTTATACAAATGTAAGTAAAGTTAGAAGTTATTCATAGATAAATAGCTATGAAAATCTATTCTAATTTATTTAGTCTTTCCCAATTATAAAGTGCATTATTTATGGATTGGGCTCAACATGCTTGATGCTAGAAATGTAAGGGTGAGCATTGTCTAAGGAGCATACAGTGTAGTGACTGCTGTAATCTAATTAACAATTTACTACTTCAACATTATTGAGTGCTTTAACTTCAAAGTCCAGGAGTTTTTTAAGGAGAGTTGATGTAATGAAATTCTAGGGTATTTATTTACTCGCTTAACCACTGATGTTTAAACAGACCCAAGTCTCTCACATCAAAAACAGTGAGGACACTATTTCCCCTTTACTCTACTTCCTCTTCCAGTTACCTACTGCCTTCTCCTTCCCGGACCTCTTTCTTCACAGCTGAACTTCTCTAGAGCTTGATGTACCACCTTTCTGTCCTTTCCATCAATTCATTTCTAATCTGACATTTAAAGAGCAATTTTATCTCTTGCAATAGAATTTCCTGTTCAAAAACTGCCATTAATTTCAAAAGCTGATATATCCAGGAGAGCTTTCTATTAGATTGGGATACTCATCATCATATGGCCAGCTGCTGTGTGTGCCTTCTCCTAAAAGGAGAAAAGGAGAAAGCCACTTTGCTGTGCGGAAGTGCCTTGTGTGTTTATAAAATCCACGTAAAAAAGTTTAGTGGTTGCTATATTTATAAGACAAATTGGTTACCCCTGAGAATGCTTGAAGATGAGATTCTCAAAGATCTTTGTTCTGATGAAAATGGAATCATTATTTTTGAACTCCCTCTGCTCACGTCAATGACTCCCACTGCAGACAAGCCAGGGGTTATAAGTAGCCATGAATCCCCTTGTGGATTGTAGGCAGGGCCAGCCCAAGCCCAACTCCTGGTAAGCTTTATTAGCCCTTAATATGTGCTTTGTTTTCATTTCACACCTTGGGGTGGGAGACAATCTTTACTTATGCTAGTGTGGTGTGCATCTGTCTCAGACATGTGTGTAAGGTTCATTTCTCAGTTTGGCTTTTTTGCTTCCTTCTGTCCTTCCTTCCTTCCTTCCTTCCTTCCTTCCTTCCTTCCTTCCTTCCTTCCTTCCATCCTTTTTCTTTCTCTTTCCTAGACTATTCTGTTTTCTTCTTTTCCTTTCTTTCTTTCTTTCTTTCTTTCTTTCTTTCTTTCTTTCTTTCTTTCTTTCTTTCTTTCTTTCTTTCTTTCTTTCTCTTTCTTTTTTTTGAGACTGCTGTCAACACTTATGAGTAATTTAAGATTGGTTTTGGGTGCTTTTTAATTTTTTGTTTAAGAATTTCATTTTCTTTGATGGTAACAAAGTGTATTTTTTCAAGACTGAAAAGGCATACTCAGACTTTGTAGGTTGTATTCATAATGACTTTGCTTATCATTGTATAATGTTCTCGTCATCATGGACTCCTTTAAGCTCATCAACTGGATTTTGGAGGTCTCATTTGCAAGTGAACTTAGAAAAAAGAAGGCTACAAAATTCAGGTGAACCAATATACTATTTCTTTTTCCTTGACTCCCTTTAAAAATGTTTCTTCTTTCTCTTTTTTACTTTTGTCCTCCCTTCTCTTCTATGTCTCTTCTCACCCACCACCCCCCCTGCCCCCACCGACCATCTACATTTCTCTGATCCTTCCTTTCACTCAGCTTCGTTCTCACCATGCCCACAATGTTCCTGCTGCTGTGTGTTGCTCTGGTGATACTTGGACCTGTACATGGAGCCACACTGAGAAACAAAGAGAAATGGAAGCCACTAAACAACCCTAGAAACCGAGATCTGGTGAGAACATACACTGGGGCATGCTGGGCTGCAGGGTGAAGTTGGCACCACTCTGGATTTCTGCACAATGCACTCTGCTAGAGCACAGTGCACAGGGGCTCCCAAGGGCTGAGAAGATTCCCCGGGAGGACCAGGTGAGAGTTTTGCTCGCCTAGTAGCTGGCATCCTATTGTTTCTCTGGCCAATTTACATTTGTTTCTGTACAGAGAAACAAATTTATATTTAGAAATGATCTTGTACACACACAGCACATTACATTTGTAAATGATCTTATACACATTGACTTTACAGCCTCGATTTCTAATACACAAAATCAAGAGCGTAACAGAATTGCTTTTTGCACAGTTTAGATTGAACTGATAATAAAACAGATTCTCAGATAACCAACACTTGCAAAGCTCAGCTGCAAAAACTGAAAGATGACCTGCCTTCTTATCAATTTACCAGGCATTATTTTCAACATAAAATTATCTAAGAAATACAATATGAGCTATGTATAAAAATGCTCTTTTAAAAAATATGCCAAGTACAATAAACACGCTGACATTACTATTTCAAAATACAGTTTTCCTAAAGAAAATGATGTGAAATATAACAATATAGGGTAAAAACAAATAGCCCTTTGCACAGCTTCTATGTATTCATTTCCTAAAGGGAAGCTGAAAAACACATGTCTGAAAAGAAACTATTTCAGAAGACAACGACTGGAATCTTATTTTTAGTCAGAGTGGAGGCACCAACTCTCATCACTGTGTAGTTCAATTTACTCTCTGACGTTGCTACTCAGAGGTGGTTTACAATGAACTCTGTGGTGCTGTTAAATAGTTGATATTCCTCTCTCTATTTCCACCAAGAATGGTGAATAATCTTGCTTAGGGTTGAAATGTTGGAAAGAAGCCAAGCGGAGGACAGAGCAGGGGGAGGGGAAGGAGTAGCCAAAGCTGTCCTTCTGTTTCCCAGTTTTCCACCTCTTGCCTCCTAGATAAGCCCTAAAGTCAATCCAGAGGAAAAAAAGAGGGGGGGGGGAATATCCATTTTTGAGTATTTTTGGTGTTTAATTTATATATGGCAATTGAATATTTTCTTTCTTCAGTTTTTCAGAACCCTTCAGGAGTATTTTAAGGGAAGAGGTCTTGATCTTAAAAAGTTTCCAAGTACTTTCTCCATGAACGAGAATCCCAGACCTCTCTCCTTCCAATCAGAATTTATTGCCTCTGCATTTGCAGATTATGAAGAGCAGAAAAACTCCTTTCCCAATTACTTCAAAGGCTGAATGTTTCTTCTGAGAGCAGGTAAAAGTTATCCCTTTATTCCCAGGATCTGTCCAAACATACAACTCAGTCATAAAGAGATTTTGAAAATATTATTTGTAAAATGATGTTATTTTCTCAAAGAAATAAGTGCTTACATCAGAAGATGCATATCACTGGTAATATTTGGATTTGGTTTAGATATTTCTTGGTCTGGTTTTAAAAAGAAATGACATTTATAATTTTTTTAATCATAGTTTTCTGGGAAGAGATATATTAAAATAGAATTATCACTCTTAATAAGATTATTAAATATAATAGAATACCACATACTTTTATCTATACCCTTTTTTTCCAGACCAGGTCATATAGCTAAGTTATATGGAAAATCATATATAAAAAGATATGTCAAATTGTGCAGTTGAATGAAATAGGAAGTGATGTTAAAATAACAGTTCTTTTTAGGAAAAAATAATAAGCATATATTTGAGCTTGAACTTCCTCATCTACAGGGAAAAAAAAAGGTAAAATATTAGTAAAAATGAAATTTTTCATAGGAAAAATAGTATAAATTTATTTATACTTAAGATTTGAGTTTTATTATTACTTTAGCATTCCTAGCAAATAAATGCCTACCCTTAAAAAAAACAGGTATTAATGGTGCATTCCAGAAAAATACATTATGATTCTAGTCTATTAGCTTTTTGTTCAGCCAAATAATAAAGAGAACTGAATCATAATTAAAATGTACTCCCATTCTTCCACAAGGGTAGGAATGAAATTGTGAGGAAGCATACCACTGTTGCACTTTATTGTGCATGTGAAAGGATTTTGATCAGTTCTTTTAAATGTGATTTTTTAAAAATAATGATGTTATTCTAAAAAGAAAATACAACTTACCATGTGGCATATTCACTTGAAAACTGTCCTACAATGAGAACATAAAATAGAGAAACAAGATATTCATAAAGTGTTCCCTTGACTACCTTTCACACTTAAACTTTAGGCAATCAGACACTAAAACAGAAAATAGTTATGGATACACAGTACCTGCTTTAGTCTGAGACAGTCTTGCAGACAATTTGCTTGTAAGCCTTAGTTTCTTCATCTATAAATTGCAGATACTAATCTCTAACTCATAAAAAGTATCAGAGAAAATATCAAATATATACTTTCATGTGAGCATGGAACGAGATAATGTTTGAAGGCAGGAAACAGAGAAAGCACCCAGTTGTTGGTGGTGAAATATAATGGGAATTATTCAACTTTGTGAAATAAGCGAAGCTTCTGATTTGGAGAATATTTCATAATTACAAGCTCTCTTTTCCTAAAATAACTGATTAGAAAATGAAGACAAAAAGAGTTTTTGTTGAAATATGTTGATATTTGAGTCTTTGTGTTAACTGTACAGTCTTCATTTTCTATGTCATTATAACATTTTCTTGTTCTTTCAGGTGTCTGGCTACTTTAAAACTACAGATGAAGACTCTTACTAGAAAAACTAAATCATGGTCATGGTAAACTTCCCCTCCTCCACTTTTGTCAATTTGCAATGATTTTATTCTACATTTCTAGACTTACATATAAATAGATTGACTCTTGAGACATAGGCAACTTATGTACATATTTTTGGTGTTTTTTCCATTCTATAACCATAAATATCAATGTAGAGCACCGTACATATCTGCAAGAGTTACAAAAACACCATGAAGTCAAAAGAAAGGATGATCTTCTCAATTACATGTTTCTTTTAAGTTTGTCTTATATGTATTTACCTTTTACCAATCAATATTTTTATTTGAAAAGAATACTGTTCTTTTTTACTTTAGTTCAAAATTTGCCTTTTTCATAGAAAGAAGATGCATTCTCACTTTAAACATATGCTATTGGAAGACTGCAGTCTTAGTTTCATATAAAGGAAGATAAGTGATAAATATACACAATTAAGTTGAAATAGAAAGCAAAGAAACATGGGATTCTAGGAGTTGCTGGAGTCCCTAGAAGATGCTCTCTGCCACTATATTCAGAGATGGACATTGTGCTACACCAAGTATCCAAGCCAGGCCTCAGCTCTGGCTCTCCCATGCACAACCTCCTCAAGAAGGGAGAGTAGAAACTGGTGTGAGTCACAACCAACCTTCTCCCTTCCCTCCTCACTTGGGCTGAATTATTCTCATTTGGAATAACTGCTCTTCCTATAGTTTTATGGAGAGCTGCATCATTTTCTTTGTGATTCCTGCAAAAGAAATATTGTCCTAGAAGCAAACATCTGTGTTCTAATAACACTAGTCTGTACATTCCAAATTAGTTTTCTGTGACTTTTTTTTGAGGATGGTAGAAACTGAATATCAAGAATAACATATTTTTGCAAGAACAGATTCTGTGTCTGGTTTAGTATGTTCTCTTGTAATTAATTGTACGTGTGTCAGTTTTCCCTGGAGGATCATGAGGTCTTTGTAAGCCATTTTTATTTTTCCAGCACCTAACACAATGCCTAGTATGTAGCAAGTGTTCAATAAATACTTGTTAAATTGAAGTAAATGCATGCTATTCTGCTATTATTCACACAGTAGTGGAAGTTGATTCTAGTTAATGTCAAGAATATTTTTTTACCATTGAAAATACATGTTATTATTGATGAGCTATTTCTCATAAAAATATTGCCTATTCAGATAAATGATAGAGTGGTAGGGAGTATTTCACCACTGTTCAGTTCCGCTCAAGAACCAGTGACTGGTTTTCCTTTTCTCTCTACTGCTCCGTGCTCTAGGTGTCAAGACCTCCACAAAAGGAATGCTTATCAGTTTCAGGGCCTTTGAAAAGAAGGGGCATCCACACAGACTTTTAGCTATGAGATTGCAAAGTCTCAGGGCAAGGGCATGCATCTGGAGATTTTTCACAATTGGAAGGTAGCTATCTCCACACTGACTAGAGTTTCTTAATGGTGATGCTATTGGCAGTTGGGAAAGGACAAGTCTTCCCTGTTGTGTGACAATTTAGCATACCTTGTCCCCAGACACTATATGTTAGTAGTTTCCCCACTCTTGCTCTTTTATTCTGACAACCAAAACTTCCCTACGCACATATCTAAAAGCCCATTGGGGAAATGATTTTGTTTATGGCTGAGAACCATTGATAAGAAAAGAGTAGAAGTATAGTGTTTCCTTCAATGGAAATAAATGTTCTGCAGGCGATCTAGGCTCTCGAGGGGTCCATGGTCACTTCTCTATATAGGCCTCTGACAGCCTTGTGGATGAAAAAAAAAGTGGAGAAGGCTCTATGGAAAATAACCTCACAGAGGTTTCTGGTCACAAATTCCCAACTGGTCAGGTGATGGTGAATAGTCACGCCCCAGGCTTATAACTTCTTTAGTAAAAGGTTCATCTTTGCCTTAAGCAAGCCCTGTCTATTGTTTCTGTGCATCGAAGTTAACACATCTTTGAAAGAAACCAGTAACAAATCCTCACAAGAGCACAGAATCCTGTTAACTATCCTGTGATCCACTCTCCTCCTTGCCTTTTCCCACCTCCATGTAATCTTCTTTATGCTCCCTCCTAATTCCAAATGCATAAAAGAAGCTGCAAAACTGTTTTTCTCTAGAGCATTTGAGATCTTGCTCCCCTGAACATGTGATCAGTTTGGCTTATAATAAACTCATAAAAATTCTCTCCAGATTTGGACATTTCTTACATCAACAGCCTCTCAATACTGACTCTTTGATGAGTACCCCATTCCCCATCCCCAGGACATGTTCTATTGTCTCCTATCCCAGATCAATGCTGGCAAAGAACTGTTAAAGGTATGAGGTTTTACCCTACTTGCAAGCTACATGCTGTCTGCTACAGTTTCACCGATCCTGGCAGACACATGAGACTCTTGGGTCTGAAGCAACAGACTTGGTTACTCATGGTGCAACAGGCAGCACCAGTTTTAACATTCACCTTTGTTCTCCTTTTCTCTCAAGTATCATGGGGCTAGGTGGGTCAGAGTGTATGCTGTGTACAAGTGGGTTTGTGCCACAGCTGAAGAATCCTGAACTTAGGAAACTCACTCTTAAAGGGGCTTACTAACAAACAAGCTCAACTTTTGCCCCACAGAGAAACATTGTCTTTATTATACTTGCCAGAAAACAAATATGCCCTCTGCCCCAGAGGGAGACAATATCTCATCTTTCAAAACTCTTTGTTCTACAGACATCCTTGAAAAGATAGCTCAGAATGAAAGCCGTCATAAGCTTTTATAGAAAAGTGGGAGAACCATGGAAAAATTATCTCCCCAGAAGGGTCACACTCCATTCTAGCTCCTTTGCTTAATAAGGAGAAACGATGGAGTCATCTTTTTCTTCTGTATTCTTAATTCTATTGTCAGGACACAAATTCAATGTTCTACTTTCTTAAGACATTCAATTTTGATTCTCAAAAATGAGTCTGAAAGTCTAAAAAGTTTCTTCTTGCTATTTTCATTACTGCTATAACAATTTCACTTCATCTCAAGGTAATGTGGATGCCTCTGACTCACCAGGGGGACAAATCACGTACAGGAAAGTAGAAAAAGAAAAACAGAATGATTACAATTTCAAGTTATGTTGCTGCATTCTGACCTGTAAAGAATAAAGGTGTTCCATAGCAGAGAAACTATCTTTCCACCTCTTGCTTCCTGCTCTCTATTCTCCACAACGTGAATCTATATCTTCACAATTGCTTATCTTCATCTATAAAGAGGCACAAATGGCCAGATAATAGGCTCCCTGTAACTCGTCTCTAACCTTAGTTGCATATTGAACTGTATTCCCCATACCTCAAATCCTTTGACCATTCCTAAGGCACTTTCAATTCCATCCAATTTAAGTCATAAATATGTTTTGAACACAGATTACTAGGCTATAGAGAGTTCACAAAGATGCATCGGGTAGTGCTGTTCTCAAGATGTTGACAGCGCGTGTCTCTAGAGAAGGACAGCAGAGAAATAGTTATAATACAAGGTAAAATACAAACTACAGGAGCATGTAGGAGGTGAAGAATAGTTCCATGGAAGGGAAGCAGTATATCATATTAATTCCAAACATGGGATTTGGAGACAGATAGACCAGGGTTCAAATCCTGTCTCTACTACTAATTAGATGTGGATCCTTGCAATTAGAAATAACAACATCCATTTTTAAGAATTATTTGAGACATATATGCAATATGCATAAGACCTGGCTCATAGTAAATGGGCAACAGTGTATGGTAATCATATGAAGCATTTGACTGTTAAGAAGAGAAGAAAACTTGGGTGGGAGTTAGAGGTGGGACATCAAGTCCAGATAAACTTATTGACAGACTAAGAAGGAGCCTGAGGAAAGGGTGTTTGAGGATTTGTGGAAGAAGGGAAAAGTGATGATGCTATTGATTGGAGATGAGATTTAGACCATAAATTGGGGGAAGACTTTAGCTTTCTGTCGTAGGGGAGAACTGAAAAGTGGACCGTGCATATGACAGTGAAATTGGTTCAATTAAAAAAAAATTACTACAGCCAAAACCAAATTAATTTACACAAATATTCAGAAAAGGAAAAGGACTGGGAGTGAGAATCTTAATGGAGAGTTAAAAGACATGATCTGGATTAAGGAAAATCTCTTTGGGGCACATTTTTCCCAGCTCCTTAATAACAAGCAGGAGGCCTGAGCCAGGCGGCAGGCGAGGGCGGGGCGCGAGGAGGTTCCGTCGGAATGGTCCCGCCCGCATCGCCCGGAAGGAGGTCGGGCCAGGCGCTCCCGCGGAACCCGAGCGCGGCGGCTGCGGTGCAGGCCGGGCCCGTTTTCCCGAAGGACACGAGGTCCCTGCTCTCGGCACCCCAGCGCTTGCTTGAGTGTGGGAGGCGTTTCTCTTTCGGTTCGCTGTCCCGTTCCTGGGGCAGCATATCCGGACCCCGCAGAGATGTCGGGGTTCAGCCCGGAGCTCATTGACTACCTGGAAGGGAAGATCTCCTTTGAGGAATTCGAAAGGCGGAGAGAAGAGAGAAAAACCCGCGAGAGGAAAGTGAGGAGATGCTAGGCCAGGATGCCCCTCACTGTCTTGTCGCCCTAATACGCTTAGGGAAATGTGGGGAACCCAGCAGCTTCTCCTACTTCTTACTGAAACCCCGGTTCTCACCTCATCCCTGTGCCAAGCTCCTCTTAAAAACATTTCCCCCACCAAAATGCTTTTGTCTTGGTTGTGACCTTTTTTTTTCTTTGTCAAATATACTAATTTTTACTTGCCGGTAGCTTAACGCTAGTAGGTTAAATGGGAGAATGGGGAGTAGAATTTGGTGTCAGAGTATCTGGTTCTAGTCCTCGCATCTGGTTCTAGTCCTCGCTTTGCCACTAAGCCTTTTTGTGACTGGGTGGACGCACCTCTCTTCTTTAGGCCTCAGTTTCTCTATTTCTAAACAGGGATTTGAGCTCCCTTTTTGGGGGAAGTCTCTCAATCTTTCACGCAAAAAAAGTGAATTTTCTTGTGTGACAAAATCTTCACTCAGTTATTCATACTTATGAAGAAATATAAAAATTTTCCATATATTCTCAGTTGAAGTCCGAGGGAAAATAAAATTGCACCTTTTGAAATTAATTGGTGGATTCTTTCCTAATTCATGCAAGTAATAGTGCCCTATCTCTTTTCATTAAAAAAACAAAACAAAACAAAACAAAACTAGGTTACAATGTATATTTGTATACATTGTATACAAAGATAATTTTAATTTTTACAATTGTATACAAATTTTTACAATTGTATACAAATTGTACACAAATTTTTACAATTGTATACAAATTGTCTACAAATTGTATACAAATTTTTACAATTGTATACAAATTTTTACATTGTATGCAAAGATAATTTTAATTTTTACAATTGACTGATTTAGACTGAAGGATGAGTCTTAAGTACTCTGAAAGGCTTTGACAATATTCAGATTTAGATTCTATATACTGTATGTGCGGAGAGCTCAAGTTTTATAAAAACAAAATGAAGCAAATGCCTGGTTCTCAACAGGAGACAGCTAAATTTGCATTAGTTTTTGGAGTCATTAATTTATTTTCAATCACAGAGTCTTCAGGAAAAAGGAAAGCTATCAGCTGAAGAAAATACAAATGATTCAGAAGTTCCATCATCATCAGGAATTGACTCTACCAAATCTCGGGACAAAGATGCCAATGAAGGTATGTTAAGATCATTTGCTACCTGCAATAAATTTTAAGAGTATCTACTAATTTAGTGAAAACGTTCTATTTTCAGTGCAGTGGCATTCTGTTGATTACCTGGTTTATTAGGAGCATAGTGCTTAATATATAATAGGGGCTCAATAAATATTTGTTGAGTTATTGAATATGGTGATGGTTAGTCAGTCTTATGGGTGGAAAAGTGTTTCAAATTGACATCAGTGTTAGGGAGGCTTTTTAGAGTTATTTTTTAAAATTGGTTCTCTCAGTTGGTTACTAATTACTTCCAGACTTTACTCACCCAAATTGTAATGAATTATACTTCTATACAAAATGGCTTCCAAAACATTGCTTTAGCTATAGGAAATAAAATAGAAATGTCAGAGTGGAAGCCCAATTTGCCCAGCTGAGACCTCACACACAGCATAGGTATCTTGATATACTACCTCATTCTAGGATCCAGTCCTCAGCTCAGCATATCCAGATATTAAATTGGTAGTGCGCCCAGACTAATTAAACTTATCAGAACCTAACTGATAAACTAGTGTACAGACTTACTAATTTCCAGTGATAGATATACCTTTCTAATGATAAGACTACTGGTAATAATTCATGGTATCCCTTTTGCCATATCAAATTTCCTGGGATGATGTCAATTAGACATTATAGGTTCTGACTGACAACTAAGTTAAACTTTCTAGACCTGGAAGGTAGAAGTAGAGGCTATTTCCCCCCGCCCCTCTGAACAAATAAGCCCTTACACAGAGAAAACACACTAGTAGGGTGGACATAAAACAAACAGGCTTTATTCCTGTCCCCTTTGACCAATTTGGGAAGAAATGGCAAAGGAGAAAAAATTGGGGTTATAGTTTCTTACCTTGCCAGGCAAGTGGGGTGGAATAGAGGGCCAAAGTTCTAACAACCTGTGGGTCCTTCCTTATCTGTTCAGGGGAGGAGCAGCTCTTCCATCATCAGGTCTTTGTAGGTGCAACTGTCGTAGCAGGCACTAGTGTCTGTAAGTCCTCTTGCCTAAAGCTGTGCCTGACAGGTGGCCCTCCCTAAAAAAGGGTTAAGTGAATCTAATTCTACCTAACCATGAGCAGTCAGGCACAAAAGTTCTAAATGGCCTCAGCTCAAATAATTCCATCAGACCTTTTAAGATAAAAAGTTCCCAGTTTCTCAGGAAGGAATTGTCCCAGAACTTTACCAAGACCCTGAGTGAGTTTGGGCAAATATTCAAAGCAGAAGAAGGGTTCAGTTTTGAACAGGCTTTGGCAAAGTCTGCTAACTGTATTATATGGCCACTGCTGTCCTTGTCTTTTTCTTCCTATACATTGCTGAATACCACTGCTAAATTCTTGCTCTCTAGCACCTTTCCTACGATGCAATTAGGGTGTTCTTTTAATTACACTTTCAGTTTATTGTTACTGATATAAAAACTACAGTTTAATGAATTTTTGTATATTGACCCTGTATCCAGGAACCTTTCTAAGTTCAAATACATGGATCCTCTATGTACATAATCATATGTAAATGATGAATTTTGTTTCTTCCTTGCCATCTTTATGCCCTCTATTTATATTCCCTTATTACATTAGCTAGGATTTCCAGTAAAATGTTGAAAGGAGTGGCATACTTGTCTCATTCCCAGTAACTTTGAATAATTCACCATTAACTGTGTTTGTGGAAAAATTTTTTATATTCTTTATCAAATTTAAGATATTCCCTTCCATTTCTAGTTGATTAAATGTTTTTATTAGGATGGGTGGTAGATTTTATCAAATACTTTTGTTGTGTCTATCAAGATATTTTTCTCCTTTTTTTCTGTTATTGTAATAAATTTTATTGATTGGTAGGGTTTTACACCCTTTTTTTCATATTTTGGATGTTTGGAATTCTTGAAGATGATCGTTAAGACTTCATAATAATTATTCGTTGCTCAGAATATGTAAGTTTTTTAATTCTGTTCTTTCTTAAACATACTATCTCATTTATCCAGCATCTTTGGGGTTTGAGGTGTTTCACATAAGTGAATAAGCTTAAGAGTTTTTGAACACAAAGAAATATATATTTTTAAATTTTAACTATATTGTTAGAACTTCCTAAAATATGTTACATGTCTCTAATAGAAAATTGGCTTCTAGACTTAACTAACTTTTTGATCATTCAAGATCATCATTATGAACTTACAAAATCATTGTAGTGTAGAGGTACCCTTAGATATAAATGAAGTATGTCATGTTATTTTGTTTCTGAAATAATAATAATACTATTTTAATATTAATATCATGTATTAAGTTCTTAGTATATGCTGGCCATTATTCTAAGTGCATATAGATAAAAACCTATACTTAGAGTAGCACTATAATGCAGACATTATTATTAACCCCTTTTTACAGATGAGGAAATTGAGGTACAGAGCTTCAGTAATTTGCCCAAGATTACACAGCTAGTGATAGATGGAGATGAAGTTTGAAACCAGATAGCTTGACTCTACAGGCCTCACCTTTAAACACTATGCTGTACTACCTAGATCTGTACCACTAGACTTATTTAGTTTTTAGGTCTACATCTTACAATTCATTTTTTTTTTACTCTCTGCTCTTAACTGATACTGTGTGTGCTTCTGATTTCCCACTTAATTTTGCCTATATGTCTAGATGAGAATGTGTCAGTAATTCCTACAGAGTAAAGTACATAGCTTCATGATAGCTTTCTTTTTGGGGTTGTTTTTGAGAGTGTTCATTTGTCTGTTTTTTGCATTCAAGTTTGGTATTGCTGGAGTAAATTTATATTCAAGAATTTACTGGAGTTTTTTGTTCTTTTGACTATCATTTTTTTCTTTTTCTTTTTTTTTTTTTCTATCTCAATGTGTCTTTTTTCAGGAGAAACATCAGATGGAGTTAGTAAGTCAGTTCACAAGGTCTTTGCTTCCATGCTTGGAGAGAATGAGGATGATGAGGAGGAAGAGGAAGAAGAAGAGGAGGAGGAGGAAGAAACACCTGAGCAACCCACTGCAGGCGATGTGTTTGTATTGGAAATGGTTCTTAATCGTGAAACCAAGAAAATGATGAAAGTAAATTGTTACTTATTTTGGTATTAATAAGCAGAATGTGAAAATATGACATTGAAAATCTTAAATTATACACATAGTTGGAAAGAATTCAGACTATAAGAAAGGAAATACTATGAGACAACCACTGTTACCTATTTCTTTTGTTTCATTTTAGAGATTTTTAAAACTGTAAAATCTTAATTATTGCATGTGTCAAAATATACTATAGTTTTGCTCTTAAAAGGTCCATATTGTAACTTGATATTTTTTAACATACTTCATTCTGAGTAGATAAATTTGAAAGGAGGATCTTCAGTAAATTGCATCATAATAAGTCTCCTAGCATATGGATTCATTTTGCAGCATCCAGTTCTACATTTATTATTCTAATTAGTTACTTAGTAATTCCTGACCACTTTGGTTTTACTTTCTTTATTTATTTTACTGTGCTTTGAATTTTCTACTGTTGTTGTTTTTGTTTTAACTTTCTGAAGTGCTCTTTTGGAGAATATTAGAATAATTTTAGTTATTTACTGTGGTTGAGTTTTAGACTTTTTTCTGAAATATGGACTCTAATATTAATGAGTCAGTTAGAATTGCAGCCCTTTTGTCTTTAATTCTGAATGTAGACTGAAAAGTTTTAAAGAAAAGTTTCAGCTTATTAATATGGCTGGAATTGAAATCTAAAACATTACTGTATTTTAACCTAAATGTCATTTTTGTTCTGTACAGGAGAAAAGACCTCGGAGTAAACTTCCCAGAGCTCTGAGAGGTCTCATGGGTGAAGCCAACATACGCTTTGCTCGAGGAGAACATGAAGAGGCAATATTGATGTGCATGGAAATCATAAGACAAGGTGTTTTCTGTGGGGATTATTGAAAACTGCAGTTTAGCTTTAGCAAAGGGGGATTTTCATAAGGGGGGCATGGCGAAGAGTAGGGTTTCCATGAAATTACACTTGCTTAGAAAAGAAAATGCTTTAAAAATGCTAAAATATATGAAAATAAAAAATATAGTGTTCTAAATTCCATTAAGTAGTTTGTATAATCCTGATAGTTATTTAAAGAGTTTAAATATTAAAGAAAGGACCCATAGATAGAGCCATGGGATTGACAGTTCCAGTCTCTTCCCTCAAAGTAATTTATTTATTTTTTTAAATTTGTTATAGCTCCTTTGGCTTATGAGCCATTCTCTACTCTTGCCATGATATATGAAGACCAAGGTGACATGGAGAAATCACTGCAGTTTGAGTTGATTGCTGCACATTTAAATCCCAGTGACACTGAAGAATGGGTTAGATTGGCAGAAATGTCCCTGGAACAAGACAATATTAAGCAGGCTATTTTTTGCTACACAAAAGGTAATTAAAATGTTTTTCAATTTTGTTTGATAAAGTGTTACATAATAGGTTTTTTGAAAATTGTACTTGGTACTTTGAGGTGATATTAGCTGAAATGTGTTTATTCCTTACACTTTGTTCTACCAGAGGTAAGTATTGGAATTCCTGTAATTTCATGTTAATTAGCACTTTACTTACATTATGAGCTAATACAGCATAAAAGCTAGCAGAAGAACAATACTTTCATTTTCCCACTGAGATCAGTGTTGGTTCTAAGCTGCTCCTTGAGTGTTAATATCAGACTAGAATGATTAAATGAAGATTAATATGCTTTAGGTTCTGTCTGGTCTTAGATCAGACCTCATTGAGAGTTCCTTTGAAGGTAGATTTAGTCCCAAAAAACTTGCTTGATTTTATAGGAGAATTAGTTTAGAGCATTTATTAAATTTTCTGAAGAGAAGATGGGTCACACCCAGGTACCATGAAACTCTTTTTATGATAAATCTTTTTTTCTTTTTAGCTCTTAAATATGAACCTACTAATGTCCGTTATCTGTGGGAGCGATCAAGCCTTTACGAACAGATGGGAGATCATAAAATGGCAATGGATGGTTATAGGCGTATTTTAAACCTTTTGTCTCCGTCTGATGGAGAACGATTTATGCAATTGGCTAGAGATATGGCAAAGTAAGTTTGGAGTAAAATGTATATAAATGCTGTTATTAATCTTATTTTAGAAATCAAAGCATATTTGAAGTAGAATATACTTTTTACTGAGGTTCAAAGAAATGTTTTACTTCCTGTATTTTATATTGTGCTTAAATGTAGAGGTGGATTTTTTTTGGTTTGGTCGTTTTTTTTCAGTACTTTTCTGTTTTCAAGTCAACTGTGTGATTGCTTAGAAAAATTTGCATAGACAGTTAACTTTTCAAGTACTCAGAAGCTTAAAAATAGATTGTGTTCTGAAAGGATGACTAGTTTCCCAGGTTTCTATAACTTATTTGAAGTTATGTACATTTGCAGTAATATTTTAAACTATTTATTGCATATGTGCTAATGAATTGTTTGTGATCTGGGATCTACTGTAATCATTTTATCTTGAGCCAATACTAGAATAACATTTTAAGATGAAAATTTTCTTTATAGTTGGAACATGCTATGCTGACTTTGGTATATATTTTATTCTAAAATATTATGCCCAACTGCATTTACTTATGTATTGTACAACGAAACAACATAGGAAACATTTTGGCTAAGTAATGCCTTGTGATATGCTTTCATTCTAGAGATAATCTACTAGAGTATTTCAGTCTAGGATTAACCATCTTGATATGGGTATCTCAGGGTTAACCCTATTCCATGATCATTGTCAGGAAGATGCTTAGCCGTAAAATCACCCCCTATGCTCTCAAGGATGGGTTATATAGGAATACTGGAAGCATTTTTGGAAATTTGTTGAGGCAAGACAACCCTAAATTGATCCTTGATGTATATAATGAGCATTGAGGATCTTCCCAGGTTATTTGCTACATTAATCAAATCTCTAGCTATCATAGTGGTTGGCCTAGTAAGCTTCTACTTTATGAACTATTAGATAGTAAATTTGTTTACCATTTGTCAAAAAAAATTATAATCTTATTGTTGGGTCAGGGTGGTGCTAAACAGTTCTGCCACTGCCATAAGAGGTCTTTTCTACATAGAATTCTGTTACTATAATTTCTGATTAATTAGGCTTTCTCTTGGTCTCTACTTTCCCTCCAGAAAGATTTATTGAATAAAAATTATGTGCTAGGCACTGTATAAGGCACCAGGAGATTCAGTATTGAATGAGTTTTAAAATTCCCTGTACTTGTGGAGCTTACATTCTAGTTGGGGGAGATAGTCAATAAGCAAATGAAGAACTAAATATATAGTATGTCAGATGTTGGTAAGTGATATGAAGAAAAACGAAGCAGGGAAAGGAGGTGAGGAATGGGAATGTGTTATATATAATAGGGTGATTAGAGAAGGACTTAATTCCCTATGTTATGGTCATACTGATCTGAAAGTGAATGGAAGGAGATTTGGGAACAGATAATAGGGAAGTGTGTTACTGGCAAAGGGAATGGTAAGTGCAAAGGAGTGCTCAAGGAACAACATGGAAGCTGAAGGCTTAAGGGGAGCATAGTAGGGGTAACGTCAGAGAGGTCTCAGGGAAAGATCACTTGGCTCTTGTGGGCCATTGTAAGGGCTTTGGCTTTACTCTGGATGAATCTGGAAGCCATTGGAAGGTTTTGAGTAGAAGAGTGACATAATCTGACTTACACTTTAAATGCATCAATTCTGGCTGCTTTTTTGAGAATAGATTAAGGAAGGAAAGGGCATAAGCAGGGAGCACAATTAGGAAATAATTGCTGTAATCTATGGAAGGGATAATGGTAGCTTGAATCAGGGTAAAAGCAGCAGGAGGTGGTGGGAAGTAATCATATTCTAGATGTATTTTGTAGGCTGAACTCAGGATTTTCTGGTATATTGAATACGAGGTGATGTGTCTATGTGTGATAGAGAGAGAGAGTGAGAGAGAGAGAAAAGGGTGGGGAGAGAAGAGAGAAGAGTTCTGAGAACAAAAGCCTGAGGTACTATAGTGTTTAGAAGTCTGAAAGATGGGGAGGAAAGAGCAAGGAGGCTGTAAGGAAATGGGCAATGAAGTAGGAAGAAACTAAGAGAATATAATCAAGAATTTTATTGAAGAAACCATTTCAATGAGGAGAGATGATCATCTATTTGAAACAGTGCAGATAGATCATGTAAAATGAGGACTAAGTATTGACATTGGGAACAGGGTAGGGACTTCTGGGGGATAGGCAGCTCTTTGGAGAAATTTTTTAAGGGAGCAGAAGAATGGGAAGGTAATTGGAATGGGTTGTAGGGATAAGAAATAATTTCTAAGTTGAGAAAAATTACAATATATTTGTATTCAGATGGGAGCAATTCACAACTGAGGAACATATTGAAGATTCATGAGAGAGGAGACAGTTGCTTGAGTGATATCCTTGAGCAGATTGGAGGGAATGGGAGCTAGTTGGGGATTAGCCTTATAAAAGGAGAAGGGAGAAGATACAGCTGTGAATATGGGTAAGTAGGTAGATGTGTTGGGAGGATGTCTGATTTAGTTCTCTTTGTAAAATAAGAAGCAAGCCTATTAGGTGAGAGTGAGGATGGGAGAGTGTTGGAGGTTTGGAGAGGAGAACATGTGAAATAGTTGTCTAGGTCCTTGGGACCTTGCTACCGCACCAATTGGCAGTATTTGCATCACCTTGGAGCCTGCCACAAATGTAGAATCTCAACCCTGGCCCAGCACCACTGGATCAGAATACACCTTTTTATGAGCTCCCCAGTTGGTTTGTATACACATTCAAGTTTGAAAAGTACCATGGGTCCTTTTGAGGCTGGTGGTCATTAAGATAGAATGAGTCCGGTCAGCCTGGTCAGCTGGGCAGCTGGTGGTGAAGAGTAGGCATATTTGGATTAACTAAGGTTGGAGTTTTATCAGATGATTTGGATAAAGGGAGAGAGGACAAGAGAACTGAAGAGATGCAGAAAACAGGAAGGGTGCAGAGACAGGGAAAACGTAGTAGGACCAGTGCTTTGTAGTTTCCATTGAGGTAGAAGAGTTGCTGATATTGGGTTACAGAGGGAATGAGCTGGAATGATAAGAGGTAGCTTTGGGAGAGCGAGATGCTTTACATTATGACATTGTTATACTGACATTGCACATTTTTCTCTGGATCAGTTCTGATTATGATTTTAAGTAAGACTTTTTTTCCTCCCAAATTTTAAGAAAATGAAAATTATAGTAAATAGCTAGAGGGCCTAAGCAAGGAAATTAATTTTATGATCTGAATTAAATAAACACTCATCCATTTTGCCATTTACTTTTTTAGGAGTTACTATGAAGCTAATGATGTTACTTCAGCTATTAACATAATCGAAGAAGCTTTCTCAAAACACCAGGGCCTAGTCTCCATGGAAGATGTTAACATAGCAGCTGAACTATATATTTCTAACAAACAATATGACAAAGCTTTGGAGGTAGGAACACTTATGTGTTTCTTTGTTAGGTTTTAGACACATTTTTGTGTTCTAGAAATTCTTACAAATTGACAAGTCCTCATTTTATTTGTATATACTAAATTACTTATGTGCTAAATTACATATTTAACTTTTATATATTTAAAGTCTTTAAGGAAACATTTCTAAGTTCTATATTAATTCCATATGAAATATAAAATGTAGTTATCACATGATAAAAGCTATCACCATTATCACAGGTGCCAGACGTGTCTGTACTAAAGTAGCAGGATTCAGCAGCCAGACTAATTACTGTGATTCAATTCTTAATCTGTTGAGAAAGTAGATTGGTTTGATTAAGCATTACTTAATATGGTATAAAAATGTTATCTTCGGTTAAGCATTAGTTAATCTGATATAAAAATGTTAATGTACCACAATGGTTTCTTATTTTGAAGAGACTGTTGCTTTTTATAGCTCATTTATATGTTATAAGGAATATTTGAATTAACTATACAAATCTTTGCATTGTGGAAAGGTTTTTCATACATATCTATTGTATTTTCTTTCCCCTCCATTCTTTTAGGTAATTACGGATTTTTCTGGAGTTGTGCTAGAAAAAAAAACTACAGAAGAAGGCTCTTTGGAAGAGAATAAAGGTTGTAGTACATAATGTGGCAGTTTGAAATTGAAAGTTAATGTTTTCATAACAAGTTTTCCCAGGGAGTATTTTTTCCTAAGAGAGGTGTCACATCTTTTTGTAATCTTTTAAAAAAAATTGTTTTCTCTCCCTTTTATTTCCTCAATATGTCCACTTGAATATGGCATTTCTCACTGACCCATGGTCTTTTTAGTTTAATGTGAAAAAAGAATGGATTACTAGACAGTGTATCAAAAACAATTTACTTTTCAAAAAGGGTTTAAAATGCTCTCTACTAATTTACTTCAGACTTAAGCATTGAAAAAGTTCTACTTCAAACTTAAGCATACACATAAAATGCTACCTGAAACTTAAGCAAAATAATATCTCTTTTCAGCCTCTTTGTAGTGAAGACTAAAAGAGGCTTTCGAATTCAAGAATAAAAGCGAGAGTATTTGTATATTCTTGTTTTTTATTTTTGTCTTTTTAATTCTTTGTAGTTTTGATAGAAAGTGTGTAGGTTTTGGATAAGTGGATGAGGTACTGGGAAAAGAATATGAAGGGTAATTGCTACCAAAGGACAAACTTAGAGAGGTATTAGTACCTGGTACTAGAGTTGGTTAAATTTAGAATTGACTATGGAATCATTTGCTTTGAATTAAGTAAATGAGATCTTACATTGCGTCATTTGTCCCACATTCTAAGCTTGTGTATAGGATCTGCTTTTTATCTGTCTAATTCACAGTTGGTGAGAATGTTACCTGCACTATACCTGATGGCGTGCCAATAGATATCACGGTGAAGTTGATGGTCTGCCTTGTACATCTCAACATCTTCGAACCACTTAATGTAAGTAACATTAAGATCTATACTTGAGATACTTCAGAACAAATCCAGTATTTTTTTTAGATGACAGGAGTTGACTCTAATTTCTACATTTCTTAATAGTCACCATAAGCATTTTGTGTGAATGTCTTACAAAAGCTAAAAGTGGAACTGGGCTTATAATACTTTGTTTTTCTTTTAAAATTAGAACAATCCAGAGATCAGAATGTGAGGGTGGGCCTTTTAGACAATTGGTAATTTCTGACAACTAGTCTCTTTTGTTAACGTCGGACTAAGTGTTTCATTGAATAAAAAATTGGGCGTCTACTTTGCAGACCTTAGGATAAGGCATTGAATAAAATATACAAATCCCAGCCCTTGTGGACTTTTTCTCCTAATGGGATTAGATAGATAATAAACAAAATACTGTATAAAATATAGAATGTTAGTGATAAATACTCTGGAGAAAAATCAAACAAGGAAGAAAAATAGGGAATATTGGTGATGGGAGGAGTTGAAGTTTTAAATAAGGTGGTCAGGAAAGGCTTGAAGGAAGTAAACCATGCTTATATTTGAGGAGACAGCTTTCCGGAAACACAGCAAACACAGAGGCCTCGAGGCATGGGTATGTTTGACTTGTTAGAGGAGGAGCCCAGAAGATCAGTGTTGTAGCTCCTGCCATGCCTGCCTTATAACAGGCTTTCAAAAGTAATGTGTTGAAGGAGTGAATAATGGTCATATGAGTTCTTTTTAAGGAGGTACAGAAGTGATTATTTAAAGCTGTTTTTATTAAGCTGTGCTCTTTAGGCTTGCCCCATGTCTATGTTAAAAAGAAAAATAAACATAGATGTGCAAATTTGTAAGGAATGTTTGACTTTGGGGTTTAATTTTGCGGTCTAGCCTCTCTTGACAACACTAGTGGAACAGAATCCTGAAGATATGGGAGACCTCTATCTAGATGTTGCTGAAGCTTTTCTGGATGTTGGTGAATATAATTCTGCACTTCCTCTCCTTAGTGCACTAGTCTGCTCTGAAAGATACAACCTCGCAGTAGTTTGGCTTCGGCATGCAGGTAATACTTTTTTTGTGGGAGGATGAAGTTTTAATCGTATAAAGAGACAAGACTTACTTTCATAAGATAGTAATAATTATTATAAAATATTACTTTTACTAAAGTAGTTATGGTTTCAGGGCAGTTTTTTGAAAGTCAGTGTTTTAAATTGTATGTCACTAAGTGAATTCCCCCCTCACTATTGCTTTGGATGAATGATTAATGGTAGCAGCGTGAAAAAGGACTAACATGTCCCTGTTAAAAATACCTTAAATACCTGTCTTCTACCTGTCATACCGTAGGCTCTGATTTCTAGTAATAGATTATCAGACTTTGGGTAAAATCTAATTTTTGATTTATATTTAATAGTTATTTTGAGAAATATTAATGCATTTTCAATGTTCTTTGAGCCAGAAATATGCTCAATATTGGGTTTTATCTGTCATTCTATTTCTGAGTCTATAGTAATCTGAAATAAATTTTGTTTGTAAGTCCACAGTAATCAGAAGCAAATCATTTAGAGTAGAAAAAACAGCTTAAGAAAAAAAAACTACATCTCTTAAGGAAATGTATGAAAGCCAAAAATATTCTAATAAGATTTCCTATTGAATCAACATAAAAGATGCATTAACATTTGAATAATCTTTGTTAAAAATATTGCATGATAATAGAATGTTCTAATAGTTCTTAAAATATTATATAATGGCAGAAAGTTCTCTATAACTAGAGAACCACTGATTGACATTTTGGTAAATTTTGAAATGTATCACAAATATAAAATAGCAAAGAGAGCACTTAATAATGAAGATAACACTTTACTGAGTAAATATCAATACTAATGTAATATTCATCATAAAAAGTTATATTATTTGCAGTATTGAATTTTAAACGTGAGCAGAGAATTGTAATTTTTATTGCCTTCCTAAGACTGTGATATTGAACCTGCTCCTGTTACTAAAAGTAGATACTTTACATATCCTATTTAATTATGATTATGATGCTGATAAATGCTGTTTCCATTTTGAGGCTGTGTAGCTTGAGATTAGTGGAAGGTGAAACCTCAGCATCATCTAAAAATCATAAAGAAATTTAGGGTTGTTATGTAAGAAAGATCATTAGAGAAATTTAAAACTTAATAACAAAATATCTTTAAAAGAGAGAAAAAATGATGAGAAGTGACATTTTGATGGCCCATCCATATTTGTTAGTCTTCTTTATTATCAAAGTTTAACCTAAAGATGATGGTTAGGATAGATTTGAGAAATTTGAGATTTGAGAAAGCAATTGGAGGCAAAAGTACTTAAAAAGGATATAATTGCAATGAAATAATTTTGTAAAGCTTACAAATCTGTAGTTCATATTTATACTTTATTTTAATATTTTAGAATGTTTAAAGGCCTTAGGCTATATGGAGCGTGCAGCTGAAAGCTATGGCAAAGTGGTTGATCTGGCCCCCCTCCATTTGGATGCAAGAATTTCACTTTCCACCCTTCAGCAGCAGCTGGGCCGTCCTGAGAAAGCTCTGGAAGCTCTGGAACCAATGTATGATCCCGATACTTTAGCACAAGATGCAAACGCTGCACAGCAGGTAGGCCATGTAACATAGAAGGAAGTTTTTCTTGTGGATTATATTTTTAAACTTTCTCCTCAGATGTCTCTCTACAGCTTACATCCAAAAGTATTATTTTAGTGTGTATTAAATTCAGTGTTTTTGAAAAATAATTTTGAGTCTTAAGTTTCAGCCAGTCATTAGACATTACAAATTATAGTTTCTAAAAGATTGGATCTTATGAAGATCATAAAGCAGATATTCCTAAACTTTAGTTTTTAACATTAAACTTTTCTACACAAATAAAACAACTTACAGCAAAGGAATCTTGTCACACTGATTATCATGTGCTTATTTATTTAGGAACTGAAGTTATTGCTTCATCGTTCTACTCTATTGTTTTCACAAGGCAAAATGTATGGTTATGTGGATACCCTTCTTACCATGTTAGCCATGCTTTTAAAGGTTGGTAATGATCTTTTTTTATATTAACTTTGTTGACTTTTTAAATGTTTAGAATTAGATTTAAATAGATTATGGCTATTTTATAGTTCTGTTTTGTTTCATTAAACTCAAACTTTTTAAAGTGAAAGTCAGATAAGGACAAAAGATTTAGAGATGGTATGTAATTGAAAGTCTGTGAGTGTTTAAACTAGACAGTAGATTAAGTGAAATAAGATTATTGCTAGTACATATTTAGAATAGTGAGAAGCACAATATTATCAGTTATTGGCCCTGTAGACACACTATGTGCCAAAATTGTTCACTTTGCAAAAAATGTTTTCCAGATTATGACATCCTTTCTGAGGCTAATTTTTTTCCAGAGAGGTGGTTATGTGCGTGTATATGTATATGTTATAAAATTGATGTAAATTGCTTTCTTTGTGAGTAGAGTGACCCCAATTCCTTTGGTAAGAAAAAAATCTCCGTTCAATCTTTTTTAGATGTTTATGTAAACACTAATTTGGTTTCTTTTTCCTTACTTAAGAAGCTTTCAGGCACATCTGTGGTACTTGTGGCCCATAGATTTTCTTTAAAAAATTATATGACTAAAAAAACCTCAAATTATCTTTAATTCAGGTAGCAATGAATAGAGCCCAAGTCTGTTTGATATCCAGTTCCAAATCTGGAGAGCGGCATCTTTACCTTATTAAAGTGTCAAGAGACAAAATATCAGACAATAATGACCAAGAGACAGCAAATTGTGACGCAAAAGGTAATTACTTTTCATTTGCTTTATTACATAAAATTTGGTTGAGATGAAAAATAGACTCATGAAGTAACACCTGACAGTAATCTAATAGTATACCCTGCTCAAATAAAATGAAATTTTCTAGTCTAAATCTTTCAAGTATAATAAACTCATTTGGGGTAAACTCACTTGTTTTAAAAAAAGAAAGGACATTTGTAAATACTTTGATTTTAAAAAATTAAAAAAGAAAACATCTGCTTGGATCTTTCTGTGAAAAAACTAAACAATTTAAAATTTTGACTTTAAGATGAAATTATATCTCATTTTATGAAATTTGTGAAGATTAGATGACAGTACAGATTACTATATTTATCCGGTCACTTTTACAATTACATATATTATATTCTCTGTTAAGTTCTTTTTTGACAAATGTAGCAATAATCATAGAAACTCTGAAAATAAGTTGCTTTGACCCAGTCTCAAGTAATATGACTTTAAAAGTCATCTATTTTTAGCTAGGAAAACATCAAGCTTGTTTAAGTGAGGTTATTACTTAGAAAGAGAACTTTGGGAAAAGATCTAAGCTATGAACTGGAGATGTCAGTCTGGCAGAAAATTATTTCATTGTTAATTAATTCAACAGACACTTAGTAAATTATTGTTACAGGCATGGCACTGTGCAATGGACAGGGTTTTAGAATCCAGAAGAGCTAATCTCTATTAGCACAATATAAGGATATGGGATAAGGTGTCCTGTGAGAGGAGAGTCAGAGGAAAAGGAGTGAGGGCTCAGCTGCTCATAATCTGTCTCAGAGCCCTGCCATCTCTCCCGTTCATTGATTCTGATGTCATCCAATGACCTCTACCTCTGCTTCCTTAAGTTAGATCTGTATATCTGATCCTGCCTGTTTTCTCTTTTCCATATTTCCTCATTTCAGGTCCATTGTCTGTTTTTCTTGGGCTTATAGGCTTTTGTTTTGCTTCGTTAGTTAACTTCGTCATGGAGGGGATCACATTACACTGGTGTACCAGGAAAGGATGAGCTAGGCATCATTAATGTTTTACACATCTTTGTTCTCTGATATTTTCACTTAACTTTTTCTCACAGACATTTTCTTATATTGCTTAATTTTCTTTGTAGCTATTATTTTTAAGGAATGTGTAATATTCCATTGGATAGTAGTGCCATAATTTAATCATTCTCTCATTATTTTTTGATATATGGTTGCTTCTGATAATTTTCTTTTATAAAATAATATTGTTGTATCTTCATGCCTATAGATCTATCCATTTTTTTGACTAGTTGGTTAGGATAGATTCCCAGAAGGAGAATTACTAGGTCAAAAATTAAAACATTTTTATGGTTTTGATATTTCTCAAGGGTTATAAAAGGCAGGCTTCTTACAGACAAATAAGGAAGAGAAGAGTTTTGAAGAAGAGGAGAAATTTTGAGACAGAAAAGAAAATTGAGGTTATAAAAAGGACAAGAACAATCTGAATCTCAAAGTATGAATTTGAAGTCTTTTAATGAGCAATCATTTGAATGCTGTGTATGTACAGAATCCTGTATCTGACCTCAGTCATGGAAAGCACACTCATTCTGCCTGGAAGACCATATATTCTAGCTATCACTGAAACACAAATGAGGTAGCTGGACTTTGGAGAGAACAAATCAGCAGTGAGAATTACTTGAGACTGCAGATTGTTAGGCAGGCAGAACAGAAGTGGGGAGGTGTAGGAGAGTAGACAGGCAACTACCCCCTTCTTGTCATTGTCTGAAGAGTGTTGGCCAGAATTCAGGCCCATAGGACCATGGTTTTTAAATTTAACCTTAAAATCAATCATGTGAATTTTTCTTCCTAATACTGCTATTTCTGGAAATACCGTGTCCTAACTGATTTTCATTGGTCTCATTTTAGCAATATTTGCTGTACTTACGAGTGTCTTGACAAAAGATGACTGGTGGAACCTTCTGTTGAAGGCAATATACTCCTTATGTGACCTGTCCCGATTTGAGGAGGCTGAGTTACTTGTTGATTCTTCATTGGAATATTATTCATTTTATGATGACAGACAAAAACGCAAAGAACTAGAATACTTTGGTCTCTCTGCTGCAATTCTGGACAAAAATTTCAGAAAGGCATATAACTATATCAGGTGAGTTTCCAATAACTTATTTTAATTAGATTCTTTGATAGAGTCTATACATTTACTTTGACTTAGTGTCTCCTGCCCAAGAATTAATAAGCTATTTTACTTTACCTTTCCTGTTATTTACTGGTTAATTCAGTTTGTTGGTGATTCTCAGAGGCAGTGTATGAAAGCATGCAGTCTTATATACTTAATCTCTTGTGCCTCATCCTCCCCATTTATAAAATGGGCATCATGATTACTACTGCCTCATAGGGTTATTGTGAGGGCTGAATGGGTTAGTATATATAAAGCCTTTAAATAATGCCTGGCACACATTATTATTCAGTGTTCATTATACAGCAGCTATAGAGGGCAGGGAGAAAAGATGAAATTTAAACCACTTGATTCTGTTTTTCAGTCTAAAAGTTTTGTTAAAAAGCAGAAATGATGTAGAACTACAAACAAGCAGCATTTCTGGGAAAAATCTTTAACTGTGTAAGTGGTTTTGCTTAAATAGATTGAAGCAATTTGCTCTTCCTTGGTTGGTGATGGTACATTTCACTGAGAGGGCAGTACTGAAGGGTTTCATTCTTAGAAATCAAGAAGGTTTTTTTTACATTATTTTTCACCCCACCCTCTTTCTGCAATTTTAGGATAATGGTAATGGAAAATGTCAATAAACCCCAGCTCTGGAACATTTTTAATCAAGTTACCATGCACTCTCAAGATGTTCGACATCATCGCTTCTGTCTCCGGTTAATGCTGAAAAACCCAGATAATCATGCCCTGTGTGTCTTAAATGGACACAATGCATTCGTATCTGGTAGTTTTAAACATGCCCTTGGTAAGTGTCCTGGCACATGGCTTTGTCGGGCATGGGCAGTGTGGCAGTTGAGAACCAGGCCTCTGGAGCAGTAATGCCTGGATTCTAACAGCCGCTCCAGCATTGCAAATTATTCTTCCTTCCTCTGCGTCAGTTTCTTTGTCTCTGAAATGGAGATAATAATTGGACCTATATTTTAGATTATCGTGAAAATTAAATGAGTTTAATATAAAGTCCTTTAAAAGTACTTAGCACATATAGTAAGTGACTGTGTTAGCAATAATGATAATTATTTATTTTTCTTATGAAGTTTTGGTTTCAAAAGGCTGAAGTCTTATAATTTACTTTAAAGGTCAGTAATTTTCCTTTACTTAGGCTTGTGTTTAAAATTATTTTCATTAGTTATGGGTGCATTGCTACCTGATTTTAATTTGCTATAGTACAAAAAAAGATTTAAGATTTGCTGATAGTTCATTCCTTTAGGAGAAAAGTCTTTATATCAAGATTTATTTATATAATGGATACCAATTCTAATTAAAGTAAGGGAAAGTTCATTAATCATGTATAACAAAGTTCTATAATAAGGAATCAGAATCAAACAAATAGAAAAATACCTAACCAAATGTTTAAACTTAAAGTGAGGCATGTATTTCCTGCCACCTAAAAGCCAATGTTGCCAAGTTCACTTCTGAATTAACTGTGATTTGGTTATTTTAATACTTTCTGTTTCTTTGCGCATGGCTGGTGTTTTTATAATTGTTCAGCCAGTAACCTTGAACATCAGATGTTGAAACTTTTCTTTACTGTGTGTACTTTTTGGAGTTATTTAATACAAGAAAATATAAAATAGAGATTTATTTTATTTTTCCATATTTAGAAACTTACAGAAGGTCAAAATAGAAAGTTCAAATGGCAGTCTACCATCTGTGCTGCTAGAGATTTTAATGGTGTCATTTCTTCTGGAATAGAAGCTGGAAGGAATAGAAGTTTTTATCTACATATGATAAATTATAGATCGTTCCTTTAAGAAAAACTTACTTAAATTCCTTTATCTCATTTGGGTAAGCTTTGACATGAAATGATTATAGAATATATGGAATTCAGAAAACCCCAATTCTTATTTTATTATTAGATACATTTAACTTTTCTGAGGAAAGACAAAGTAGTTGCTACATTTGGGGAAACAACTCCTATAATCTAAAAAAACAAAACAAAACAAAACTATTTCTTTTTTTCACCTCCATGATCCATTACATCTGAATTTATAAGATAGATCAATTGATTTTTTTATAAAAGAATTCACCAAAAGACATTCCTGCGTTGTTTTTTAAAATAGATTTAAGATCCTAAGATAGATTTATTATCACAATTGATAAATTGTTTATTTTGGAAGTATTAACTCTACATGAAAATGTCTAGCTGTGCCTAAAAGAATATTACTTTTCATCACTAATATTTAATCTTCATAGTCAGGATACATTCATGGGTAAATCCTTCTAATTTTGTTATATGTTATACATTATTTTTAAATATAAATTTGCATCTCATTGCTATTTTAGAATGTGTACCTTGCATATGTTAAATATCAGTAATATTTGTTTAGCCTTAAAATATATTTGAATAAGTGTTGAAGAAATAAGAGACTATGTTCTTGTCACACCATCTGACATTGCTGTTAATTTTTTAGGCCAGTATGTGCAAGCCTTTCGTACCCATCCCCATGAACCTCTCTATAGCCTCTGCATAGGCCTAACCTTTATCCACATGGCATCTCAGAAGTATGTATTAAGGAGACATGCTCTAATTGTGCAGGTAATTCATTTGGATTTCTCATTACTTGATTTTCTTTAAAAACGAATATACTTAATATATTTGTTATCCTGCTTCAGAAGTAATACCTGCTAAGTACACATTTTGAGAATCCCCAACACCTATCCTTATGTTCTGCAATCACAGACTAACACCTAAAGGTACTCCTGGCTAAGACTTATGCAGCCATGTAGAAAAGGTACACACCCAGATCATAAGGGAAGAAGACGCAGGCAGAATCTGGGGAACTCCTGTGCAGGCTTCCTTATACTCTGGAACCCTTAAGCCCTCCAGCCTTCTAGGTCCTGAAGACTGATTCATTTTAAATTAGTTTTTAAAAATATATAATGATATATACATAGAACAATGTGCGAATATGTGAATGTGTGACTGTTTCCATACATCATCAGCAACAAATTGCTCTTTTAAAGTTTTCTTTGTTCTTATAGCAATTTGAAATTACCTTTTTGTTTTCTGGTTTACTTTTTTTATAGTTCGTTTTTCTAATAAGAATATATACTCCAAGAAATCACAGATCCTGTTCGCGACTGTATCTTCAACACTTTTATGATTGCATTTACGTTTATATGTTTGATGCATGTATAGACATGTTTCTTAAAGTAGTTAGGGAAGGAAAAAAATGTTGGCTTGAGTGGGGTAGCAGGATTTAGTAAAGGATTTTTTTTTTGGTTTATTTTTGAAAATTCTATAAATTTAAAAAACATTAAAAGAAAGCCTAATTAAAATGATGCTAATTGTTAAAACTAGGTATTGAGGTTCATTATAATGTTTTTACTTTTGTATATTTGAAAATGTCCACAATAAAAAGTAAAGAAACCCCAAAAAACCCAAACCTGAATTTTTTCTTTTTTGGGTATTTGCTTGTAATATTTTGCCACACATTCCTTTTGTTCCTCAGTGGATACTTTGCTCTTTTAAGTAATGTAGGATTGTTTCCAAAATAAACAAATATGTACTGAGCATCCATGTGTCAGGAACTGAGGATATGGCAATGAGTGAGTACACAGAAGCCCTCATGAAGCTTATGAAGCTTATATTCTGGTAAAAATTGATAGAAACTTTTATGAACAAACTCATTATTAAATAGTTAAATGTAGCTTTTAGGCCTGGTAGTACAAAAATTTGAATAACATCATTTCATTCAGTGTTGTTTCTTACAACACTGGATGAGATGCTGTAGGAACTTAACTCAAGTTTATATCAATTAGTCTGTGGTAAAATTGGTTTTGTTATATGTCATTTTGCTTAAAGTTGCAGAACCTATCAACCATGTCAAGTGAGGACTTAGTGTACTTCAAAGTACTTGGGAAGCTAAATTTCAAATGACTTTTATAGTTAAATAGTAGGTTTTAAATGGTTGGGGATAGAGATGAAACGAAGTGATTTTATGATGGGATTCTGTTATACTAATCTTTCTTATGTTGTGTTTGTTAAACATTTTATATTGAAAAAAGTTTTTAAACAGCAAGTTTTATTGTAAATAGCATGATTTTAAATTGTTTTAATTTCTCATGAATCTATTTCTTCATGCTTTAGGACTGTAGTTTTCCTTTGTACTACTTTAAAAAACTAATTTCCTATGTTTTACTATCTTTCCTACCTTTATATCATACTATGAGTAAACTCTTTCATATTTCCTTACTTCTCCCTTTATTTAATGTTATATAGACAATATGTATTTGGGCCCTTTAGTGATTGATGTGATAAAAATATTTGAAATATAACATAGTCAATGTAAAAAGAACCCTTTTCTCCATTTAAAGGTTTTTGTCTGTCATTTTACATAGTTTTTATATTTGATGATTCATAGTCTAAGAAATAAAGTGGATGTGCCCACATTACCTAAGTTTTTTAGTCTCTAAATATTTGAATAGTCTTTCAGTTGTCAAGGAGATTATCCTTTTAATATTGTTAAAAATTTCTTAAAATGCATCAGGTAACTCCTGTTACCATATCAGAAGACCTATAAGTTCATTTGGGTTGTCACGATCCATCTGGTATTACTATTCTTTCTTACTCAGATTTTTATCTTTCAGTTTGTCATTTTAAAATATGAAGATTTGATATTTCTCTGAGATTAAGAGTTTGTCTTCTATTACTTAAAAGAGACCCATATTTTTCAGTGAAGTAGAGGTCATATTCATATACACGAATGGGTCCCTTTTATTATGCAGAAGTATTATGCAGAATTATTGAATGTAACTATTTTTGTCCCTAAAATGCATTAATTCTATGGAATTCATTAATTTTTATTATTTCCTTATGAAGGAACATTTGTGACCATTTATTATATAGCAGATCACCCGGCAAATAATTGCATTTTAAATTCTATACATACAAATTAGTTGATTTACTCTTAATTCTCAGTAATATATTTGTTTAATTAATTAATAGGACATTTGTGCCTTTGCAGTTTGAAACTTTCTGTGGGTAATAAAAGTTGCAGCTGTATTAAAAGGGAAAGTGAATATGGGGCAGAGGAGCAAGTTGCTTTTTGAATTCTGTGACACACAGGGAGCCTGCATTATTTCAACTGTGGTCTGAAATAGTCGATTTCTCCATAAAGCCTTAAAATCAGAAGTTTTCGGGGAAAAAAAAAACAAAAACAAGTTTTCGGGGTTAAGAGATTATGAAGGTCCTGAGAAGTACCATTTATCTGGAAAAGTTAGGTATACTCAAGTGACTTTGCTCCTGAGGATAAGCCTTTCTAAATTATCATTGTAAGGGCTCAGATTTTATATTTTCTTAAGCTTTTAGACAGGTATTTCAACCATTTCTTGCCTCTAATGCCACAAAAGCCAACTTAAAAGCATAAAAATAATATATCCTGTGTTCTTATAGATTATGGATCTTTGACAGCTAGTTATAATATTTGGCTTTGTTTTCTGTCCTTAGATTTAAAAAACAAAACCTTTCCTTTATACCATCAGAAGAGTTCTTGACCACACTGTGATATGACACCATAGTACAGACCTATGTTCTTTTTGCGTGGGACTGTTTCTTTTTATATTTGTATTCCTGGCACCTGGCACATATAGTCGTTCATACTTGTCAAATAAGCGAAATATTGAATTGTTTCCTTTCTTTTTGGTAGGGCTTTTCCTTTCTTAATCGATACCTCAGTCTACGTGGTCCTTGCCAGGAATCATTCTACAATTTGGGCCGTGGCCTTCACCAACTGGGGCTGATTCATCTTGCAATCCATTATTATCAGAAGGCTCTGGAGCTCCCTCCACTTGTGGTAGAGGTATTGTATGATTTACTTTGAAAACTGAGGAGTCACTTCATTTCATATATAGATAAGGGTGGTCCAGACAGTGAAACAAATTTTAGCTTATATATTAAAATGTTTTTTTTCCCCCCTTATTGAATGCATTCATGTAATTTGTTCAGTAGCAAGTCAATCTTTGACATTCTGGCTTTTTGACTTGACCAGCAACCACGTGGACATATGTGACTTGTGGTTATGACCATTTTAAATATCCTAAGATAGCCCCTGTGTTTTACAAGTATGAGCTGGTAGACATGAAACCTGAATATTGAGTAATATAGTCATTGTTAATTTCCAAGTTCAAGTGTAACATGTTTCTTTCTAAACATGAAAGACCAGTATTAACATAGTTTTGTGTGTTTTAAGATAATATAGTATAGGGTAGAGTTTATTTTAATTTCTGAAGAAAAGTATATGTTTTAATGTTAATTTTTTAAGTTACATTCATAATCCTCACATTCCCTCACAACTGTTTTCTCTTACCCTTGTTCAACTTAAGTTGTTAGGCCGATGAATACATACTTTTATAGTTATGCCAATGAAATATATACACTTTGGTGTTCTTTATTGCATAAATATCTTTATGTATTGCTCCTTAGGCTTTATAGGTATCTTTTTTTTTTTTATTATTGCAGATATTTTTCCAGTTAACTTCAAAATTTTATATTGGGGAAGATTAGAAACATAGATCTAATCTACTCCATTGAGTTCCTTGCTCTGTTATTTAAATAGGAAAAAAGGTAGTAACACCCTAAGGTAATCATTATAATTAATTTAATGTATGCCTTCCTAGACTTATTCTGTATATACCTTTCTGTTATATACTACAGGTATTTTTTCCCCCCCATCTGGTCGTTTATATTATTTATTTATTTAATTTATTTTTTACATGCAGAAATTTTATGATTTTTATGAAGTCATACCTTTTAATCTTTCCCTTTAGAGTTTCTATTTTTGCTATTATATTTGGAAGGGCCTTTCCTACCCAAGATTGTATTATTATATTGTCCAACTGTATTTTTTTCTTTTATGATTTCATTTTCTTATTCTTAAATCCTTAATTCATCTGGAGTTTTATTCTGTGGCTTGTGAGTGAGACTTTTTCTTTAACTTATTGGTTAGGCATTTTTAAACATTCAGTGAATGATACGATTATTATAATGATTAATTGAATCAGTATTATCTGATAAAAATTTAGATCCAAGGTAGATGCATAATTTTATAATTTTTTTGTGGGGATTATGAATTTTAATATCTTTGTGAACACTTATGCTAATGAAAGAAACTGTTTATTTGCCATAAAATTGTCCTGGTTGTCAATTTGAAATATAACTCATTCATATATTTTTCCCTCTAGGGTATAGAAGTTGATCAGTTAGACTTACGAAGAGATATTGCCTACAACTTATCTCTCATTTATCAGAGCAGCGGGAATATTGGAATGGCTCAAAAGCTTTTGTATACACATTGTTCTATATAAGACACTTCAACAAAGAAAGGAGCATGGGGTAGCTTTTGTACGTGGACCAGTATTTTCTGTCTCAGGGCTTATTATTAACCCTAAAAGGGAAGCGATAGTTTCAGAATTATCTAACTGTGTATTTCATATTTAATATGTGATAATGATCTTTTGGTAGATATGCAAAAGTTATTATTTCTATAAGAATTTGTATATTGTTTTGTCATTTTCCCTTAGTGTTTTTTAGTAAAATTGTCCCCAAAGCTAAATGGACAGTAATAACCTTTCAGTCAGCTTTGAGTCAAATACACTGATTTTTCACTCATACCATTTATTTTTCTGTGCATTTAATACTATATTTTAAACACCTACTATGTACCAGGCACTGTGATAGGTGGTAAGAATACAGTAGTAAGACAGATGTGACCTCAGTATCCTTAAATACAGAATTTGAGCATATGTCTATGTGAAAATGTTTGCTCCTTTTCTACATCTGTCATCATTATTGTTAGTCATTAATTTCTCAGAACTCTGTTACTACTGCATGAATAGTTTTTCAAATACATAGAAAAAGAGTTTGCTTATTGAAGGAGAGACAAATTGGGACTCTTTCTAATGTCAACACAATTAGGTAATTCACTTAGCTCCTAACAAAATTATTTAAAATGGTTATGTGGTAGGAAGACATATAATTGAGTTAATTTTTAAATTTTTCATCTGTATGTATCTTAGCTACATAGACCAACACCTGGGAGACTGGATTTAACTTAAAATATCCTGCTATAAGGCAAATTAAAAAATGCATGATCAGTGTTTGCCAATGGCTTTTTTTGACAAAAAAAATAGAAAAGGAAGGACTATGTTCAATAACATGACCTCGTTTTCATTTCATGATCACTAGAAATATAAGAAGAATGGGGAATTATACATACAGAATAAAGTACTGCTTATTAAAAAATAGATAAAAGCCTTTTATCTCAAGTATTGTTATGTTCTTGAATTTAGGATAACAATACTTGTTAGGTATACTATTGGTTTAATAACAGCATTTTAGAGTTTCTTTTTAGGGGAAAATAAATGTTATAATATGCATATGGATTATATACATATTAGACATAAGACCCAGTCCAGTTATAGTAGGGAAGTATAAGACATAGGATCAAAAAAATACAATGAAGGCTTTTTAGGAATTATTACTACCATTTACACTGTATACATATCTTTGTATGTAATAAGCAAATGTATTGTTTCCTCTGTATGTTTATATATATGTATAGATGTAATTTAAATATATTTATTTTTATAATTAAAGTGAATCGTTTCACATCACTTATATGTATTTTGTGACATTTGCATTTAATGATAAAGCTAACTGTGATGCAGTAATAAGATTTATGTTTTAGAATCCAGTGGAATTGAGTAGTCTGCGTTCAGAGTTTCTCTCTTTAATTAAACTCATTGGGCTGTGACTGCAGTATCTGCTAAACAGCCGTGGAGGAAACAATAAATCTCTAGCAGTTTTCTAAGAAAAAAGTTGTTATTGCATGACTTTGTTTAACATTAAAAACATAGCTAACATTTGCTGAGTGTTTACAGTGCTAGTGTGTGCTAAGTACAGTGCCAGATTCTTAGATACATTATCTACAATTCAGAACATCGCTTGCAAGGTAGGTATTATTATTGGTGTTATTATCATCTCCATCTTATATATCAGATTAAACAGCATGTTCAAGATCACTGGCAAGCTACTCCTTAAGACTCAGGGATGTTCCTACAGAGGGACAAACTTGTCCAGTTCAGAGTAACAACATAAAAATTGTGCATGTTTATTTTAGAAAAAGACCTCTGTAAAAAACATTTTAGGATGTCTTTTAAAAAGCTGTATCATCCTCACTCCAGCCATGGATGGGATCCTGATAGCCACTTTATACAGTGAGATTCTTTTCTACTAGTCACAGTTGGTTCAGCAAAGAGTCTGCTCCCGAAGCAAGCTAGGCCAGGAGAG